CCTTCCCGACTCCCCTGCTGGAGCAGCACGTGTGTGTGTAATGCGTGCAGGTTTGCCTGAGTGCATCACCCACGTAAATGTTAGGTGGTGCATGATGTGTGTGGAAACTCTAAAAATTACACAAGTAATTACACAAGTAAACCGGGTATGGTGGAACATGCCAACAATCCCAGCTACCCAGGAGGCTAAGGCAGGGATATTAAAAGTTCCAGCCTGGTCTGAGCAACCAAGCCAAACCCTGTCTCAAAAAAAAACCCTATAAGAAAAACTAACCAAATTCAGTCCCCAAACTGTGTTCACGTTTGGGGTCCCTGGCACCTCCCTCACCACGAGGTGGACCTCCTGCCCAGCGGTTCACTGTCCTTCTGCACTGCAGATGGGGCCTCCCAGGCCTATGTTCCCTGTCCCCTCCCCCGGTGCAGGGCCAGGTCTGTCCCTTGCTTGGCCTCTGCCCCATTAGGGGAAGGAAGCCGAGGCAGGACAGGGGCCACACAGCCCTGGCTGCCTCCAGCAGTTTGGGGTGACTGGCCCTGGGTAGGGAGGAGGCAGCCCGAGCCAGGCCACCAGCACAAGAGCAGGGCTGGGGCGGAGGGCCCAGGATGACCTCTTGTTCTCTGCAGAGCACCCTGGGCTGCCCACCCCACCCTCTGGGGCTTACCCTGGCCGTCAGCTGACTGCCCTTTGTCCCCATGTCCATCCATCCGTCTGTCCACCCGCCATCCGGAGCTCTCAGCTCCCATTCCTGCAGCGCCCTCCCCCAGGTGCTCCAAGGCCTGGTGTGCCCAGGGAGAAGCCAACCCTGAACTGCAGGTTCAGATCCCAGCTCCACCCTGGGCCAGAAGCACGCATGGAGCAGGGATGTGTCCGAGCTCCTAGTGAGGTCTGAGCCCAGCACCACAGGCACAGTGCTTGGGAAGCACTGAGCTGCATTCACACAGCGCAAGACCCCCACACCCTGGGCCGGGCGTGAGGACAGCACTCCCTCATGGGCAGATGCTGGGACTCCTTCCCCTCCTGCTGCAGCTCCCTTCCAGTGCCCACCCTGCCTGGGCAGACGGTCCTCTAGCATCCGGTGTCCCTGCAGGCCGGGGTGGCTGAGCCATCCCCAGGTCACCTGGTGAGAGGAGCTGGATGTCACCTTGCAGCCAGAGGGCTGGGTCCCAGACTGCTGTGGGGTGTAAGACAGAGTCACCATGTGGTAGCACTGGACACCAGGGACAGCGTCCTTATAACCTGGACCAGGACTTGTAACTGTCCCACCTGCTAGGCAGTGTGGCTTTGGCCACCCTGGGGGCTTTCCACCCACTGGCCCTGAGCAAGGACTTCCAAGATCCAAGGAAGGCAAAGCTGGGAGCCACAGGCTGCGCCTCCTTTCCCAGAGGCCACCCCAGCCCTGACCCCAGCCTGCTTGCTCACCGGTGCCCCCCAGACCCCCATGGACCTGCAAGTTGGCAAGTCTGGTCTCTAGGACCTAACAGTCCAGCCAGCACAGGGGGCCCTGTCAGCCAGGTGGGGCAGAGATTGTGGCCCTGAGCAGGAGGCCAGGCAAGAGTGGCAGGCGTGTCCCCTTGGGAGGTCCATTGTAGGGCAGTCAGAAGCTGCTGCCCTGGGAGTGGGTGGGACAGGAGGGCATCCGTGACTTCTCCAGAAAGCAGTCTCTGTCCCTCCACCAGGGCAAAACATGCGTGACATGAAACCTGACCACCTCGTCACATTGAAGGGCTGCTCTACAGGTCAGGAGCACTTGTGACCGCATCCACTTCCATCTCCCCAAGCCGGAGCTGTGCCCCTTAAACACTAACCCCCCACCCCCACCCCAGTCCTAGCAGCCAGCCTTGTCTCCTCTTCTGCTGTGAATTTGATGATCTGAGGCCCCTTCTGCGAGCAGAGGGTTTGCCCTGTGTGTTCTTCTTAGTCACGAGCAACCTGACCCCACAGCCTATCCTGGGGCCTCCAGCCACATGACTGCACTGGCTGGAGACCCGGCTTTCTCCAGCCTTCCCGATGGCTGGACACTCCTTGACAACTGTGAGCCATGCTGCTGACACGCCTCGCTGAGCGAGGCCCCGTCTTCAGCCCTTTGTGGGGTGGACCTGGAAAGGGAATTTCTGGGTCACACGGTTGCTCTACAGTTTGGTTTTCTGAGGAACCAACACACTGCTTACTGTAACTGCCCGGTGTGACAGTCCTGCTGCCAAGAAGTCCTCGGCAGCTGGGAGTGACACCCAGCCGCTCTGCACTTTGCTCTCTGCAAGGCAGGCAGCCCAAGGTGGCGGCCTTGGAGTGCAGGTGACAGGGAGATGACCTGGACCCTGGACTCTGGATGCTGGCATCACCGTGCCAGACTCGAGCCCCCCACATCTTGCGCCAAGCGTGCTGTCCTAGCAGGAGGCAGCACACCCCCTCCCCAGGCCTCTGTCAGCCCAACCCAGCCTTCCTGGGCAAGGGGCTCTGGGAGGTGTGGGCAGGGCAAAGCCCTTCCCTCCTTGAGCCCAGCTGGGGCCAGAACCCCTGAGTCACCCCAAACTGCTGGAGGCAGCCGGGACTGGGGTGACTGACTGCCCTCCTCTGCAGCGCGGCAAAGCCCTGCTTTACCCCTCCCCCCTCCCAAACTGACGTGTGAGCCGGGAGCCCAGTGAGTTTCCCACACTTTGGCTCCATTCACAGTGTTAAACGGCCCACAAAGGCCAGGCGTGTGCCTCGGAGGCCGCCTGAGCTGCCATCTGGCCCGCACTCGGGGAGGGAACCAGCCTTTCATCCGGCCAGGACTCCACACCATTCATTTCATATTTCCCACAACTGAAAATTGGATCAAAGCTGCTCCAGCCCAGGAGGAGGGGGGAGGGGTGGGCGACCCCCCCACACAGCCCACCCACCACCCTCATCTCCCGTAAGCTGCCATCCTGGCCCGCCGCGGGTGGGCGGGCAGCTGAGGGCGTGGGGGCTGGACCACATCTCCCGGCGGCACGCGTCTCTTTTGGGCCAAGGGACTAGCTTGGGGGAGGGGACCAGGCAGGACTGAGACCAGCCAACTGCCCCCTCCAAAGCCTGGGGCACAGTTCTGGCCTGCACATACCCCCTTCCCCGAGCGCATGCGCACACACACATACACACACACACACACACACACACACACACACACACACACACACACATCCGGCACAGCCCCTGGGTCTCTGCCAGCAGCCCAGCAGTGGCAGGGCATGCGTGGGCTCCGAGCCTGTGTCCAGCTGGTGGAGGCTGTGGCCAGGCTTCTTTCCCGTGCCCCCCACTCCCTCTGCTCCTAGCTGAGCAACTCCTTGGTGCAAGGCTCTGGGTTAGCAATGCCAGGCAACAGGCACTGGGGACCAGAGCACCCTGCTCACCCCACCCCAGCACAGCCCCAGGACACCCAAATGTGTGCTCACAACACACTATGAGAAGTGGCTTGGGTGACCAGAATATATCCCCCAAACATCTCAGGGCTACACATCATCAGGTGCCTGAAAGCCTGTAGGACTGGCCTGACCCCCAGCCCCGCAGTGCCAGCTGCAGCGGGTGTGCAGGGCTGAGGTGTGGGCATGTGCCTCCGTGCTGCCTCCTGGGTTTGCCAGCACCCTCTGCACCTCTGCACCCAACAAGGGCCAGAGGGCTGTGTGAGACTCCCTCCCCAGAGGGGAGTCCCCAGTCAGAGTGAGGGGTGGCAAGGAGAGTGGGCAGGCTGCCTTCCTGACAGTGACAAGCTGGCCAGTGGGAGGGTCATCCTGTGCTGTCCTGACCACCAACGGCTCCACGCATGAGGGATCCTGAGCCAGGCCTCGCGGGCTGCTCATCACACAGGCACTGCCACACCAGGCACAGTTCTTGGGGGACCTGCCCAGCCACACTGTGCATAGCTGCCAATCTCCCAGACAGCCTGGCTCCTGGGTCAGCCTGGCCAAGGTGCCCAGGACTGGGTGCCAACTGCCTCTGGGGAACAGCCGGGCCCCACAGACCCTCAGCCACCACAGGACATCTGGATTCCTCCTGGCTTCAGAGGATAAGAACAGAGTGCTCCGGGGCCTCTTCTAAGCTGCCCAAAGCCACTGCTGGCCCTCTGTGAAGCTGGCCAGGTACCCTCTGGGGCCTTTGCTCAAAGCCATCTGAGATGTCATACACTGGAGCAGGGCTCAGCTTGCTACCTGGTATCCCTCTCTGCCCCCTGAGGATGGCACCTTACAGGTGCCCAGGTTGCACAGAGGGCTAAGTGTGGCCATAGCTGCCCACAACCACACACAGTGACCACAAGAAGCATGCCAGCTCCTGCTCTGGGGATGCTGTCTGTGGCTGACCTCCAGGGACATCCACTGGTCCCAGAGCAGCCCTGATGCCACTGCACGGGTTTAGGGAGCCCTGGGCTGCCCAGATGCCAGGCCGATGCTGGGCATCTCATGTTACCCAGCTCCCAGAGCTATCCAGAACTGGCCGGGGAGCCCTGGAGAGGACAGAATCCCAGCTGACCAGCTGTGGATGGCAGGAGGGCTGAACTTAAGAGCCCAGCCCCGCTCTCCCCCTGCGGTCAGGACAACAGGAGCACCATTCAGAAAAAGTGTGGCCACCTCTGTCCCCTTTCCCCCGGGGCACCAGGTCTAGGTCAGGGAGGTTGTGGGTGCCCCCACTCCCACCTCCCTGGTGGCCACTGGGCTTGCTCAATCCAAGAATCCAAAGCTCTCCCTTCTGTGCACGTGAGCTGGCCTCCGCCAGCAGCCTGGGGAGTCGCGGAGAGGGGCGGGCGGGAACTCCTTCCTGCCCCCCGCCCGCAGCCTGGGAAAAGGCAGCATATTGAGGCGCGGGGCTCCCAGCACCAGGCCCCGGGATGCTAATGAGGGCGAGCGCGTTCCCACAGCCCGGACATTGTGCTGCGCGGCCCACCTGCTCCTCGGGGAGCGCCCATTGTGCCCGCGCCAATTCATAGGCAATTTAGCGTGCGCTAATGGGCCGGCGCCTTTGTGCGGCCCGAGCTGCCATTGGCCGCTGAGTGTGGGAACGGCCGCGGTGCCCGGACCCCAGGCGCCAGCCCGCCGCCTGCGCCTATATAGGGGCTGCACGGCCCACAGCACCACCGGGAGGGACGCTCGCCCACGCCAGCATGGCCCCCAGCACAGTGGCCGTGGAGCTGCTCAGCCCCAAGGAAAAGAACCGAGTAAGTGCATGGCGCGCCCGAGTCCCCGCGTAACGGGTCCCGGGGTCTCGGGGTTCCTGCGTCCAGCCGCTGACACCCACTCCTCCCGCAGCTGCGGAAGCCTGTGGTGGAGAAGATGCGCCGCGACCGCATCAACAGCAGCATCGAACAGCTGAAGCTGCTGCTGGAGCAGGAGTTTGCGCGGCACCAGCCCAACTCCAAGCTGGAGAAGGCGGACATCCTGGAGATGGCCGTGAGCTACCTGAAGCACAGCAAAGGTATGCATCGGCCGCGCCCGGCGCCCTGCGCCTCCTCGCACTCCAGCCCCTGCGACTCCCCCAGCCCACCCCTGTGTCCCACCTCATGCCACTCTGCTTGCCCCGCAGCCTTTGCCACGGCCGCTGGCCCCAAGAGCCTGCACCGAGACTACAGTGAGGGCTACTCCTGGTGCCTGCAGGAAGCCGTGCAGTTCCTGACCCTGCATGCCGCCAGCGACACCCAGATGAAGCTGCTCTGCCACTTCCAGCGGCCCCCCTCGGCCCCCACTGTGCCTGCTAAGGAGGGCCCCATGCCTGGCGCTGCACCCCTGCCTGCGCGCCCCTCCTCCAAAGTCTCCCCTGCTGCACGCCCTTCAGCCTGCGGCCTCTGGCGGCCCTGGTGACTTCCCTGCCACCCACTGCCACCACCACAGCTCAGGCCAAGCGGATGCACCCTTCTCTGGAAGCCCCTTCCCAGGCCAGCAGGCTGGAGAACGCACCGCCTGCAGAGCCGTGGCGTTTGAGGACAATCAGGGCCATCTCCTGCCCAGCGTCTGACCCCGTGGGGTTGTTCTGTGTTTGCATTTCAGCAAGTGACTTCTGGGAAGTCCCCAGCTGCGGGGTTCTATGATATTTGTAGGGCCAGGGGCTGGACCTGCCGGCACCCAGGCCTGTAGAGGACTTTCTTCAAGGCCCGTCACTGCTGGGCACGCACCTGCAGGCGGGCATGCGTGCCGTGGGCACATTGCCTTTTGTGAAGGCGGAACTCCAGGTGTATCTTCATAGGAAGGTACTCAACCTGGGTACCGGCCCAGAGGCCCACGTGGGCTACATGGGCGCTGGCTCGCTCTGGGCTGCTGGGGGAGGGTGGGACCTCCACTACGATCCTTAAAGGATTCCTCAGTGTGGGTGGGTGCGTGTGGGCACACTTTGTACTTAGAATTTGAGCTCTCTGTCACGTGGGTGCCCACGGACTATGAAGTCTTCTAATAAAATCCAACTGTCAACCCCTCCGCCGTCTGTGCCTCCCATCTGTCCTGGGCAGCCAAGGGCTGGCTCTACAGCACACAGTACTATGGTGTGGGCACCACAGAGTAGGCAGCCGTGGGTGGAAGGGGTGCTTGCCAGTGACCTCCAGGCAGGAGAAAGACCTGGGTTTTGGCTGAGGGAGAGAAGCAGTTTTGCTTCCAGTGCAGACCAGGTTTCTGCCCCCAGCTTTTCATCAGTTCTCCATGGATATTCAAGGGTGGGACAGCTCCAGGACCTCGGGCTCTACAAGGGAGGGATCCAGGCACCACAGTGGACCTGACCCTACGGCAGGAACAGGCTTAGCCAAGGCAAACAACAGGAGAAACTCCTGGTCTCCAGCCCCAGCTCCTGCCCCTGACTTGTAACATCTGTCCCCAGAGGTGCTCCCAAGGCACCTGCTGGGCTTGCCCACAGGGCTCTGGCCTGCTGAGTCAGGTGGCGCTGGTCATAAACCTGCCCAGGGCAAGCCCATGTCTGGGAAAGGGCATCTATTTTTAGACAGGCTGTGGCATGTTGGTTGAGTCTGCAGGAGCCTAGAACCACAGCTCCCACAGACAGAGTGGGAAGGAGCTGAGTATGTTGCATGTTTTCTGAATGACAGTCACAGACCAGGGCTACACCCTGCCTGCTTCCTGTCTCACCTCCTTCAAGCTCTGTCCCTTTCTGTCTACTCTACAGGAAATATCTCCATAGGCTATCCCTCTGGCCAGCCCAGAGCAGAGAACAGAGAGCATCCCCATTCAATCTGCATAGGTCTGGGTGTCCAGTGACAGGAGCGTCCCCCTGAACACAGCAGCCCAGCCACTCCCTCTCAGGAGAGGGCCTGCCTCCTTGGTGAAGGTTTACCCATCCTCTGTCCCCAAAGCACGTGCAAGGCTGATTCTCGCAGCAGTCTTGTCAGATGCTCTGAGCTTGTGCCTTCCGATGGGAGCTGGCCTCACAGCCAGGACACCTCGGCCTGCAGGCAGAGGCTGAAGACCAGAGACAAATCCACCTGCTTAGGCCCTGAAGCTGCCTTAGCATCGGTTGTGTCTGGTTCCAACCAGGCTCTTTTCCCAAAGTGCCCAGGGCTCCAGGGCTGCACCCTGGAACCCTGTCCTGCCCCTGCCCCAGCCTTTCGGAACTCCGGTCTCGCCAGAAAGTGGCTTTGTCCAGGCAGCCTTCCCCGCGGCACATCTCCAGCTACAGGTGCGGGAGCCACTCTGGCTGGGCAGGGTCCTGAACTTTTCCAGGGTGCGTGGGACTTCTGGCGCGGAAGGTCCCACCCCCCTGGGGAACCGGATAGTGAGTCACCCTAGCAGAGACTGGGGCCAAGCTCACAGCACGCACGCAGGCCCATGTGGCTCCCGAAAGCCGGCTCGGCAGGCTCAGAACACTGGAGTTAACATCTGGTCAGCTTGTTAAACAAGAACATCCAGATATTCTGTTCTAATACTGCAACTCTATGGAATAACGGCCGCCCCTCCGTTGCCTCGGCCCCTGGAACCTTGGTCCAGGATTAGCGCCGGCGTACCTGGGGGCGCGGGGGTGGGGGTGGGGGGGACTCGCAGGGCCCAGAGCCTCATTAGCATAATATATGCTCGGGTGCGCTTAGCAGTCAAATACATGCGCATATATCTCCATGGCTGATGAGGCTGGCCGGGCACTTTCAAAATGGCGGAGTGTGGAGCGAGCGGCGGCGGGAGCAGCGGAGACAGCCTGGACAAGAGCATCACGCTGCCCCCCGACGAAGTCTTCCGTAACCTGGAGAACGCCAAACGCTTCGCCATCGACATAGGTACCCGCAGGCCGGGTGCCTAAATCGGCGTCGCAGAGGCGGGCGCGGGCGCGAGGGACAAGCGGGGGTGGCGGGAAGGACGAAGGGCGGGGGTGCGGGCCGCGCGCACAACCTCACGGGCCGCTGCGCAGCCTCATGGGACTGGTAGTCCTCGGGGCGCTCGCGTGCACTTATGCAGCGGCGGCTGGACTGCAGTTCCCGGTAGGTATCACGCGGCGGACCAAGGCATTCCGGGACTTGTAGTCCACGTGCTGCCCCCCGCGGTTTAGGGTCGGGGCTTGTGGCCCGCGGCTTTTTCGGTTGTCTGATAGAGGACTCGTTCTCTGTCAGTTGACAGCTGGCAGGAGTCTGCCGGACGGGGATATGAGACCTGGGGACTCGCTTCCACGACTTCCCTGTGGCCCGGGGGGCCTGCACAGCGGTCCCGGACCCGTGGGCTGACCCCTCCTCCCGGCAGATAGCTGGCGCCCCTCGCACTGACCCTCCCTGGGCAGACCCACATCCCACCACTCTGGGCACCGCAGCACTACTGGCGAGCCGCACGAGCTGCTGACCTAGCCCCTGGTGGACTAACTTGGCCAGGGTCACCTGGTCAGTAAATGACATGGCCAGGAGAGGACCCAGCCCGACCCCTACCCACTCTGCCGCGCCATTTTGAGGTGTGGGAGCTCCCACGGGGAACAGCTGCTATCTGCTGCAGGTGCTTGATGCTGGAATGAATGGGGTGTGCAGCGGACTCCTGCTTCCTTGCAGAGGCCGAGTGCTTCTGGGTGCACAACTGCTTGCATCTGGAGTGTTGAGCATAGTTACTGCTGCCCTGTGGTCTGGTTGCTTGAGGCTAGGCTTGGTGTTTCACCATCTTCTGGAGGTGCCTCATCCTGGGAGGAGCGCTGAGAATAGAGGTTGACCCGTCTTTCCACCTTTTAGGGGGCTCCATTGGGGTGGTCTCTGGGCGAGGTCAGCCGGGTGGTGGTTGAGAGAATGTACGTGAGAAGCATTTGGAGGGACACTTGGTTGGAGTTGGTGATCAGCTGGACCCTCCACGATCAGCCCCTTCCAGAGGTTCTGAGGCAGAGGCCTTCAGGTTCTGAGACCTTCACTCCAGTGGGACGTGTGCCCTGAACGACCCTATGGCCCTACACTTGAGGGTTCTGTTCAGCAGGGACAAGTCGGGACTAAGTGTATCTGAAAGTCAATTGAAATTGCATGTCACTTGGGGCACAGCCAGGAAAATGGGGCTTGCCTTGGATTGTCCATGTGGCTACTGGCCAGCGAACAAGTGCAGAGCCAGAGTTATGGTGGGAGGGCTACCCTGGCCTTAGGGCCCGGAAGCACCCAAGGCCTGCTCTTTGGGGCCAGGCCCAGAGGAATTTCACGGCAGGGCACTGCAGAGGTATTTTTAACCATCAGTATTTATTTCCTGTCTTTAAAAGTTGCCCTGTGTGGGGTCCTACGTCTGATCGGAAGAGGACACACTTACTGTTTGTGGGAATAGACCTTTCGTACTGCAGCTGGTGAGCCGTCACAGCTCCCAGCGGTCCTAAGCCTAGGCATCCACAAGCAAATGTGCTTGTTAACAGTGTCCTTTAAAAACGGGTGTCTCCCGTTTCCTCTTCCCTCACTCAAGTCTTGGCATCCAGGAAACCTCAGCTGTTCTGTTCTTGGCAAGGGCTTCTCCTCTCTTGCTCTGGGACTCCAGGTCAGCGGAGTGCCTCACCTCTGGGTACATGGGGGTACTGTATTTATCAGCAGAGATGCAGAATTTGGACCTGACTCCAGGTTTCTGCAGGCCAGGGGAGGGTGGGTCTCTGAGAGGAAGGGCAGGTGTGGTGTGTGCTGGGCAGAAGGTAGCTGGACAGCCTGGGTCTAGGTGGACAGGGAGGTGTGGCTCAGGTGCTGAAAATCAGGCAGGTGACCTCTGGGAAGCTTCCTCCAGCCTTCAGGTCACGCTGTCAGCCTGGGCCCGGGCAGGTGCTGAACTGGGGACCCCACCCCATGCCCCAGGACATCAGTGTGCTCTTGCTTGGCTGCATACTAATTGCGGGGTCCCTGAGAATGGCCCACTGCACTGGGCTCTGAGCCGATTCTGGTTCAGGCTGACCTCCCTGTGAGCTGTGTCTCCACAGGCAGCTGACCCCATCTCTTCTTCCTGGCTGGGGAATTGGAAGCTCCTTTGGGAGGCCTTGGAGGTGGGGCTTTACGTGGAGTATGTATTTCCCAGAAACCTACCGCCGCCTCTGCTCCCATACACCCCGCATATCCTGTTTGGGGCATGAATTAAAACTAGCACCAAAGACGCAGGTTCCGTGACGGGGCTTTGCTAGTAGTAGCTTGATGAGTCCCTTGCCACGTCTTCCTTCCTTTGCAATCTGTTTTCACAAAGCAATTTATTCACAGGTGGATCGAGCCAGCCTTTTAATGAGACTCTGGGGCCCAGGTCGGATTGGGGCGGGGAGGAGGGATCAGGAGGCTTAGGATCACGGGCCAGGGGATGAAATTAAGCCCATGACAGTGTCCATGGAACCAAAGGCAGGTCTGGCCTGGGCTGGACAAAGCAAGGCTGTGGGGCTGTCACGCTTGAGTGAGGCAGGGGCAACAAAACTGTGACAGGTGACCGATCACTGCTGAATGGGAGGCTTTCAGATACTTCTGTGTGGGGGCCTGAATGTTTACCCTCACCTGTCCCTTACATGCTTTCCTGGGAAGCCACCGTTTGAGCCTCACTTAGCCTTCCTGCCATCAGTCAGTCGAGAGATGCTGGCTCTCCTCTATCAGGCACCACTAGAAGTGTCATTTGTTGAAGTGGTTTTGTAGAGCTGAGCTTTTGGTGTTTCCTTCTGGTCGTTGATTGTGATCCTTTGAGTCTGTGAACATGCTGTCACCTCTGCAGTGCCCATCTGTGTCTGGAAGGACTGCCAGAACATGTCTGTCCTTGACAGGGCCTTTCTTGACTTCACAGCGGCTTTCCCCGAAGTGGCCCCGGTGAATAGCGCCTGCTTCTTCCTGGAGTGGAGCTCAGTGTCTGGTTGTATGCAGCACCCTGGAGGATGACAGGGCTCTTGAGGACGCAGGTCCTCTGCCTGACTTCTTAGACTAATTTTTGTTTGTTTTTTGGCACCGGGTATGGAACTCAGGACTTTGCGTTTGCCAAGCAGGCACTTAGGTCACTGAGCTAAACCCCTGGCCCCCATTCTTAGGCTAATTTGG